CGGGCGCGAGCGAGGCCTCGCTGTCCTTGTCCAGCGCGACCAGCGCGTGCTCATCTTCAGCTTGTCCACCTCCTGGTGCTCCCGGTTGCCTGGAGGAGGCGAGGGCACCTTGTCCCTCACCTCGCCGTCCAGGATGGACTTCCACGGTGCCGACGATGGCCTGCCTGATCGTCGAAGGCCTTGGCTGCGGGCGACCCTTGCCAGACGCTGAGCGCCTCCACGTGCCCAGCGCCAGCGAAGCGAGACAGGCTCCGCGTCGCCGGCGCCGTCGGTTGCCGCTGGGGCCGCGAGGCGTTGCCATGACACGACCCGCGCAGGCGCGCCGCTCCCACTCGCGCCTGCGCACCTCGGGGGATATCCGAGGGGAACGGCTGAAGCCAGTGGCTACGGAAGAGGAGGAGGAGGAGGAGGAGGAGGAGGAGGAGGAGGAGGAGGAGGAGGAGGAGGAGGAGGAGGAGGAGGAGGAGCAGGAGGAGGAGGAGCGCGCGACCCAGAGGCGGGCGAGTTCAGTTGGGGTCGATGAAGTCATAGGGGAGGTGGGGGCGGCAGCCCTCCTCGAACAGGCAGCTGCTCGCCCAGAGGATTGGCCGTCGATAGCCACAAGCGCGGCATGCCGCACTCGAGTGGCACGGCAGATGCCATGAAGAGACGGAGCCTGGTGCAGTTCAGGCCTAAATTTCTGAAAAACCTGGGAAGCGAGCACACACGACGCGTTAGCACGAAGAAGATCGAGAGCATCATGCGCTCTGGCTGCACGCTACGCAGAAGAGGGGCCGAGCCCCAGACGAGTGATTGGATCACCAGGAATGACAGCGCGAGGGAGGGCGAGCAAGTGAGAGAGGCGAGGACAAGTGAGATAGTGGGCGATGTAAGCAGGAGCGTTCGACCCGACGCCTCCAGAAGCGAACGCAGGGGGCGAAATCGGGGGGCGAACGCGGGAGGCGAAAGCAAGAGGCGGAAGCGCGAGGCGAAAAAGGGAGGCGAAAGCGGGAGGCGGAAGCGGCAAGGGAAAGTGGGGGGGAGCAGGAAAGCGGAGGGCGAAAGCGGGAGGCGAAAGCGGGAAACGAAAACGGGAGGCGAATTCCGGGAGGCGAAAAGCGGGAGGCGAAAGCGGGAGGCGACAGTGGGAGGCGAAAGCGGGAGGCGAAAGCGGGAGGCGAAAGCGGATCGCCTCCCACTTTCGGCGGTTGGCGGTTGTCTTGAATGTGTCTCTGTCTTCTTGTGAATGTGTCTTTCCTTGTCGTGTTTGGGTCCTCCTTGTCGTGTTTGGGTCTTCCTGTTAGAGCGCTCCAAGACGCCCAAGATGGCCCAAGACGGCTCAAGAGGCCCCAAAGAAGCCCCAAGAGCGCTCGAAAAGTACCCCCAAGAGGACCCAGACAGGCACAAATTATATTGATTATCTTGTTTTTCTATGGTTTTCGCTTTTCTCCATTTCAGGCTTCCGACGCTCCAAGATGGCCCCAGAAACCCCCAAGACCGCCCAAAGATGGCCCAAGAGGCCCACAAGAGGGCCCCAAGACGGTCAAAGAGGGCCCCAAAACAATCCAAGAGGCGCTCAACATCGCCCAAGAGGGCCCCACGACGGCCCCAAGAGGAGCCCAAGAGGGGGAACACGAACCGACAATTCGAGCCTTCCGCCCCAAGAGGCCCCCAGGGAGGCCCCAAGAGGCCCCCAAGAGATCCCAAGATGTCCCCTCGAGGCCCTACGAAGCCCCCACAAGGCCCCGAAAGAGGCCCCCCGAGGCCTCCAAACGGTCCTCAAGAGGACTCAAACTCAAAACTGCCTCCAAGAGGCCCCCGAGAGGCCTCCCACGAGATCCAAACAAACATCCCAGAGGCCTCTAGCCCACAACCCAGGCACGGTGGCGGGATGGGCCGAAGGCCGCCCCCTGTGGTCTTGCCACAGGGGTGCCAGGGGCGTGCTGGATGCTAGACGGGATGGCCATGGTTCTTGTTCAACAGAACTCTCCCTGGGGCTTCGGCCCGTCCCACCGGCCACCCGACAGGACCCACAAGACGCCCAATTCTCGTAAAGAAATTCCCAAGACGGCTCCGGCAACGATAATCGATAATCGAAACGATCATCGATAATCGAAAATCGATAATCGAAACGGTAATCGATAATCGATAATCGATAATCGAGTCTCGTAAAGAAGTTCCCAATTCTCGTAAAGATGGCTTCGATAATCGAAGCGACCGCCTCCAAACCAGCCCAAGGGAGTCCTGCCCGACGTCTGGGCGCACCACGCGACAACCCCCGCCCGGAGGCTCGCTCCGCGCACGGCATCGGGCTCTCTCGCGCCCGCGGCTTCGGTCGACGTGTCCGCACCGGCCTCGGCGCAGCAGAGATGGCCCAGAGCCCCGGAAACGGCAGGGCCGTTGTTTCACCGTTTCCATAAAAAATGTCCCTTGAAAAAGGAAACGGCAAAAAAACGGCGACCGGAAACGGCAACAAAAACGGCTCCAGGATTGGAGCCGGAGCTGGAACCGGTCAAAAAACGGCGACGGAACCGGTAAAAAAACGGCGTCGGAAGCGGCAAAAAAACGGCAAAACGGAACCGGTAAAAAAACGGCCCTGTCGTTTCAAGGGCCCACTAAGGCCCAGAGATGTGCTGTTTGCCTTTCTCTTTTTTTCTTTCCTTTTGTCCTCGCTCGGTGGTGCAACGGGCCCGCCCGGCGCTGTTTCGGAGATGTCCCCAAGATGTTTGGAGACGTTTCTTTCGGTACGGACGTGTTCCGGAGATGCCTTGTGGATGTTTTGGAGATGTTCTGCCGCGAGCACGACGCGGCCCGCTGGGTTCTGTAGCGGGCCGAACCTACCTCCCTCCTCCCCTCCCTGCTTCCCCTCCCAGCCCATCCCTCCCTCCTCCTCTCCATCCGTCGACAGCGACCCCCCCCGATGCCCCCTCACACGTCCGGGGGAAAAGGGGGCCCAGGGTGCAAAGGGCCCGAGTAGCGGGCTGCCTAGCCTTATCTGGGCAGCTTCGACGGGGAAGCGCTTTCGGTGCAATTCCGTAGGGTCGGTTGATCTGCTTTTGGGTGGGCGGCTCGTCTGCTTTACTGGTTTGATGTTGCGCAGCGGGCAACGGACGGGGAGAGGCCTGACGCCCTCAAAGAGCATGGGAGCAGACTGAGCAAGGGGGCCACCATCGACTTCGTTTGCCTTTCTCAGGGTCTCAGAGGCGCACGCGGCATTCGCAACTCTCAGTCTTGCGTCGTTTACTGCGACCTGTTTGCTCGACAGGGCACTTGGCAATCTGCGACACTTGAGGCAAGGGCTCCTGTCAGCCTCCTCCTTCTCTTTCTCTTTCTCTTTCTCCCCCGACCCATTCTTCCACACACGTTGATCGTGCACACTGGCCTTACAACAGCACAATGACTGATAGAGCAACCTTCGGGCGATCAAGAAGTTGGTAGGCGGGGCATGATGCCCAACGATGAGCACTCGCAAACAATACGAAAAGCATGGGACAACCGCGGTACACTCATCGGGACAACCATCGGGACAATTATCAGGACAACAATCGGGACGCCACGCGCGACACTGATCGAACAAAACCGCTCTCCCACTTGGGGGCCTCCGTTTCACCTCGGCCTCGCCCCCCCAACCAGCCTCCGATGGCACTGTGCCGGGCAGGCGCCAAGCCCTGCACGTGGCCCGCCTCCTCATTCTCCTCTTCTCCTCCTCGTCCTCCTCCTCCTCCTCTTCTCCTCTTTTCCTCCTTTCCTCCTCCTCCTCCTCCTCCTCTCGTCCCTCCTCCTCCTCCTCCTCCTCCTCCTCCTCCTCCTCCTCCTCCTCCTCCTCCTGCTCCTCCTTCGGGCTTGGAGCTGCGGACATTCAGTTCTCCGAAGGACTGCGGTCCTCGCCCCCGCCCCGTCCCCGCTTCCCCGGCAGCAGAGCATCGCTGAGGGATTGGGCCGGGGGCTGTAAACGAGGGCCAAGTCACAGCCCAAAGGGGGGGCTTCCCCAGGGAGGAGGGAAATCGACGGACGGGGACGACAAGATAACACGGCAACGTGAGGAACGAACGTACCCCGGGGACGAGTCCCGCGTCAATTAGGCCTGCATGGCAAGCCTGGCCGCAGCGGCAACCCGTGTTGCTGTAGTATATGTGTGTGATGGAAGTGTGGGGGGGGTCTTGTCTTTGCTCTTGTGGTACTACATGTGAAAGGCAACGACAGTGGCCTCAACAGCCTGGACTCTCGAGATCTCACATTTTTCTCAACCGTAGTCCGAAGGACGTCCGAGGCCCAGCCAAAGAAGGGGGTCAGAGAGGAAGACGAGCCGCACCCAGTACAAGGCGACGTGGTGACGGAGACGAGGACAGAGGAAGTAGTGAGAAATCGAGTCCGATCCACCACACCCGCAGATACAATCACGAGAATGACACCTCACGTGCATACACGAGCTCGAGGAGGAGGAGGAGGATGAGGAGGAGGACGAGGAGAAGGAGGAGGAGAGAGGCGAGGAGGAGGAGAGAGGCGAGGAGGAGGAGGAGGGTAGCCTCCTCCTGCTGCGCTGCGCACGCAGTAATTAGACCGCAGGTCTGTTGCGCCCGACGCTGCGCGCCCGCGGTCCGCCGGAGGGGGTTGAAGAGGCCAGCACCCGCCCACCATTCCCCACCTCCCCTCCACTGTAGGTTAGCCTCCTCCTCCTCCTCCTCGTCCTCCCTCCTCCTCCTCCTCCTCCTCCTCCTCCTCCTCCTCCTTCTCCTCCTCCTCCTTTTGCTCCTCCTCCTCCCTCCTCCTCCTCCTCCTCCTCCTCCTCCTCCTTCCCCACTCCTCCTCCTCCTCTCCTCCTCCTCCTCCTCCTCCTCCTCCTCCTCCTCCTCCTCCCTCCTCCTCCTCCCCTCCTCCCCTCTCCTCCTCCTCCTCCTCTCGCCTCCTCCTCCTCCTCCTCCTCCTCCTCCTCCTCCTCTCCTCCTCCTCCTCCTCCTCCTCCTCCTCCTCCTCCTCCTCCTCCCCCTCCTCCTCCTCCGCGCTGGGGCGGCAGGGCAGTCCTGCTCGCAGCTCTCCTTCTTCGAGCGGTCGTCGGCCTCGGCGTCGCGGCCCCGGGAGAATTACGAGAGCGTGGCGCTCGGCGCTGCCCGCGCCGAGCCGCAGCGACGGAATCGGGGAAACAACGGCTCCCTGAGCGTGTCCAGGGACTGCTGCTCTGCTCTCGGTGAGGATGAATCTCGCACTCATGCTGTTTCCTCGAGCGCTGCATCTTACGCGAGAAGGAAGAAGAAAGCTGAGGGGAAGCAGCGCAGGACACCGTGGAGTCATCACACCCGCCGAAAGCCATCATACCTGCGGAATGCCATCAGATCCGCCGAATGTCAGCATACCCGCCGGATGTCATGATACACGCCGAATGTCATCAGACTTTGACATTCGCAGTCCTGGCGGAAAAAAGGCACACCAGTCGGCGGCTGCAGTCAGCACGCCTGGGGCGACCCAGGCGTGGTGAGGCAGCGGCGGCCTCGCCTACGGCATGGCCGGCACCACACTGCCGAGAGTGAGGCCGAGGCTGAGAGGGGAAGCAGCGACAGCGACAGCCACAGGGGTGCGGTGAGAGTTTGTCCGAGCCCGAGCCCGACCGGCACGAGTGGATGGAGAAAGGGCATGGGCAGGGAGGGAGAGCCGTGTTCAGCCAGAGCAGGCGGGATCCAGTGCGTTGGCTCAGTGTGCCTCCTCCCTCCTCCCTCCTCCCTCCTCCCTCCTCCCTGCTCCCTCCTCGGCCTGCCTCACGCGCGCTGGGCTGGCTGCAGCATGTCAGCGCGGAGGGATCACGCCGATGCGCCCTCTCCTTGGAGTTTGCCTGGTCCCGCCGTCAGCGGGCGCGCTGCGACGATGACGATGACCGCGCCGTTGCGGCGCCGGAGGCGGAGCAAAAGAAGGAGGAGGAGGAAAAGGAGGAGGAGGAGGAGGAGGAGGAGGAGGAGGAGGAGGAGGAGGAGGAGGGGAACGAGAAGGGGGAGGAGGAGAATGAGGAGAAAAAGGAGGAGGAGGAGCAGGAGGAGGAGGAGGAGGAGGAGGAGGAGGAGGAGGAGAGGAGGAGGAGGAGGAGAAGGGGAGGGAGGAGAGAAGGGGAGAGGAGGAGAGGGAGGAGGAGGTGGGGAGGAGGAGGAGGAGGAGGGAGGAGGGGGGGAGGAGAGCAAAAGGAGGAGGAGATGAGGGAGGAGGAGCAAAAAGGAGGAGGAGGAGGAGGAGGAGGAGAGGAGGAGGAGGAGGAGAAGGGGGAGGAAAGAGAAAAAGGAGAGGAGGAGGAGGAGGAGGAGGAGGAGGAAGAGGAGGAAGAGGAGGAGGAGGAGGAGGAGCAAAAGGATGAGGAGGAGGAGGAGGAGGAGGAGGAGGAGGAAGAGGCGGAAAAGGAGGAGGAGGAGGAAAAGGGGGAGGAGAAGGAGGAGGAGGAGGAAAAGGAGGAGTAGGAGGAGTAGGATCAGTTCGGTGCGGCGCCTGGCCGATTACCACAGCAGCTCGCCCGCGTTGTTCCGTGGTGAGGATGGCGTGGCCATGCCAGGCGTGCACCACCACCCACCGGTGCACCCAGTTGCCTCTAGGTGCCTCCTGCACCCTGCATTGGGACGCACACGGACATACTAATACTATGTGTCCTCCTTGAAGGCGCGCGTCCGACCCGAACATATAGTATACCCATCTTGTAGTATATCGTTTCCCGAGCGGTGTGGCCCGAAAGCGCCCGCCACGACACATATACTATAAGATTTCTCGTTGCGCGCGTCGCCCCTGTGGGGGGGGCGACGCACATATAGTATAAGTATGTTGGGGTGTGTTGGGGTGACGCCGATGCATCCTGCCTCCACCCCTGCCTCCTGCCTCCTCCTGCCTCCTCCCCTGCCGCCGACTCATCCAGCCTCCTGTTCCCCCTTCCTGCGGCCCTCAGGGCCTCCGGGTGTCCAAAAAACAAGCTGCGATTACCCTTCTGCGATGGCACTGTTGGTCATGAGGCATGCGCGGGAAGCCTTGAGGCCGCGCGAGGACAGACGGAAGGCCCCTCGGACGCAGCAGCCCCAGGGAAGCAACGCCTCCCCACGTCGAGGGCCCAAGTCCCGAATCGCAACAGTCGCAAGTGCCGCTGGACAAAGTCGGCAAGGGGAGCTCATGCTGGCGAATCGGGGGGGTCCCGAGTGTCACCCCAAGTGCGCGTTCCCCCTGGAAGGATGTAGCTCATGGACGGAGCACCACAGGCATTACCTGCAACAAATGGCCAGGATTGCTCAATCGAAGGCCTCGGTCAAGAAGGTACGTCTTGACTGCTAGGAACACGGCGCGCCCTGCTGCCTTTGCTGAAGTACTGCCGCAGGATCGTGCAGCCGACCGACGTGCGCCTCGAGGACGCAAGTCGTCAGGTGGACATGTGGATGTTGTCTCCTTCTCCATCGCACGTGTAGGGTCACCGAGCGCTAAACGCAGCGCCTTGATTGTATGTGTAGAAGCGTTCACAACGTGTAGATTTAGTGCCTCCACGAGACGTGGTGCTGGCCCCGCTCGTGGTGCTTAACGGCGTGGTATTATTCGCGCTTCTTGTCTCATGACTGGATGTCCACGCCGAGCTGCTGGTCCCAGGCGTGCCGCTCCGCGTGGAGCTGCTGGTCCCCGTCGTGCTGCCTAGCGACGTGGTGCTTGTCACAGTGCTTCTCTCTCGAAAGGTTGTCGACGTCGGGCTGCTGATCCAGGTCGTGGTGCTCCGCGTGGAGCCGCTAGTCCACGTCGTGCTGCTTAGCGGCGTGGTACTCGTCGCACTGCTTGCCTCTCGAGTGGATGTCGACGTGGAGCTGCTGGTCTCGGTCGTGGTGCTCCGCGTGGAGCTGCTGGTCCTCGTCGTGCTGCCTAGAGACGTGGCGCTCGTCCCATTGCCTGTTGCACGAGTGGGCGTTGACGTCGAGGTGCTGGTCCCGGTCGTGGTGCTCGGCGTGGAGCTCCTGTCGTGCTGCGTAGCGTCGTGGTCCTCGACGCGCTGTTTGCCTCACGAATGGGTGTCGACACCGAGCTGCTGGTCCTGGTCGTGGTGGCCCGCGTGGAGCTGCTGGTCCCGGTCGTGGTGCTTAGCGACGTGGTTTTCGTCGGGCTTCTTGTTTCACGAAGTGATGTCGACGCCGAGCTGCTGGTCCTGGTCGTGGTGGCCCGCGTGGAGCTGCGGAACCCCGTTGTGGTGCTCAGTGCGGTGGTACTCACCGCGCTGCTTGTCTCACTCATGGACGCCGGCGTCGAGCTGCTGGTCCCGGTCGCGGCGCTACACGTGGAGCTGCCGGTCGCCGTCGTGGTGCCAAGCGACGTGGCACTCGTCGCGTTGCTTGTCTCACGAATGGACGTCGACGTCGGGATGCCGATCCTGGTCGCGGTGCGCTACGCGGGGTCGCTGGTCCCCACCGAGCTGCTTGGCGTCGCAGTGCTCGCCGCGCGGCTTGTTTCACGAGTGGATGTCGACGTGGAAACTGCTGGTCCCGGTCGTGGTGCGCCGCGTGGAGCTGCTGGTCCCCGTCGTGCTGCTTAGCGACGTGCTACTCGTCCCGCTGCCTGCTTCACGAGTGGACGCCGACGTTGAGCTCCTTCGGGGTCAACCTCGCCCAACTTCGGCGCTCTTGGGGATTTCGCGGGCCGTGGCAGGGGCTCTGGGGGGCTGGCCCAGGAGGCTAACACCGTTTGAACTCCTCAGGCGCGATCTTGAACTTATCGCCGCATCGATCGCAAGAGCGGCCCAACATTTTACAATAAGGTTGATGACCGGCCGAAAATTACCAGAGAAATCCCCAAAACGGGCCCAAGAGGCCCACCAAAACGGCCCCAGCCGGGGCCCCGACCGTCGCACCGCTGAAGCCCCCCCCCCCCCAGCATGACCCCAGGAATCCTAAGAGACACACAGGAGACACGCAAGAGGCCCCCAAACGCACCCAAGTGGGCCACAGTCTCAGTAGCATCAGACTAAGCCCCAATCGCCCCGATAGTGTCCCGGCGGCCCCTGGAACACGTCTCAGGCGCAGTGGCGGGATGTCCAGAAGAACCTTAGATTGTAGCCCTGGAAAGCTGCCACTGCGTCCCTCTTCTACCTGTTGCGCCCACATTCGTCACTTTTTTCAGGGCGGGTGGAATCAACTAGAAGGCATTTGCGATGAGGGAGACGGAATGTAACCAGAGGGAAAAGGTGGTCACCGACGCAAGAACAGGTGGCACCACGTGGCTGACCATGAGTGGGGCGCCCGCTCAACTCCAGATTCGCCGCTACGGTGCCCTCGATAAACTTACCAACGCAGCCTCCCCCCTCTCCATCCCCCCACTTTTCCCTCGACGCCATCGAGAGATGAAACGTGGAGGGAAAGAGGGAGGCGTGTCATACTATGCCTAACGAAAGGAGGGGGAGGGGAGGAGGCGCGACATTCAGCTCGATCACCACCTACCAGGCAGCTGCAGGACACTGCCAGACAACATGTTTTCCGTCGGCGGTGAAGTAGAATGGCTACACCAGCGATGCAGCTAAACGGGGGGACCGATGAGCGAATAGGCCAGCGTGCAGGAAGAGGGGAATGGACGGCCAGGGCGGCCGCGGAGGAGGGGGAAGGAGGGGCTACTCAGAGGCAGAAGACTCCTGACCTGAGCGCGCTGGCGCGGCCAACCCCGTCAGCGGGAACCAAGGCAGCAGCTGGGGCCGCAGCGCCGGGGCACCCATGGGCGACGACGGGGCCCAGTGCGAGAAAGCAAATACCGCAGTAACGCCGTCGGTGAAGTAGGACGAAGCACCTGTAGGTCAGCAGACGCGCCCTGAGGCCGCCCAAGTGGGTGACTGGGTTGACTGGGTACGGCCAGTCCACGATCAATCTAGGCTTCAGACTGCCACCAGCAGAACGCTGGGCCCGCGAGGTGGGTGCGGGCGGCAAGACCAGGCCCAGGAGCACTGCCGCACGGGGAGGGCTGCCAGCTGCGGCAGCAGCGCGAGCGCCATGGCGGCGCGCGGAGGGAGGGGGGGACAAGGCAACGGGGACGGGGAGGGGGAGGGCAGAGAGGAGGAGGGCCCCGCGTGCAGGAAGGTCCCCGC